CTCTATATATATATATATATATATATACACATTGGAGAGTGGGTTTGCATGTATGCTCCAAGTGAAATAAAATGTAAAAGCAATGAAAAAACGGTGTACAATCATTGACTTGCGGAACACAAATTTATTAAGCTATAATAAAATCAAACGGATATTTTGATAGCTCCTGCTATCTTTATCAACGTTAAAGACTTTAACATATAATAATCCTATAACTTACATCATCTGTAAGAAGAACACCGGTTTGACTCTGCCCCTGCATCAGCAAGTGGTACTTCAGAAGTTTCTCCATCTCTGGTGTACTGCTTCGACTCTTAGCCTCCTCCCAATGGTCCATAGGACTCTCCGGAGGCAAGCCAGAAGGTGCATTAGCACACTCCGGTGGCATATCGCCAAGGATATCACTAGAAAGTCGCTCCGGAGGATCTTGGTCAGAATGCGGAACACTAGTTTCATAAGTTGATGAATCCTGTTAAATGACAACAGAAAATTATTTTCATCTATTATAAAAATTATTAATAATAATTAATTACAATAATAATAGTTGTTATACCACTCCCTAAACTTTGAAATATAAAGTAACACAGGAACTTACGTGATGTTTAACGTAAGAGTTACCCCGTGAAGCACTTTCTAGATCTAGGGAATGTTCCAACTCCTTGGTGATATTAGCGATGGTGGTTGTTGGAGTCAGTATCCCACTGCCTGGCCTACTACCACTACCAATGTCCAATGGTAAACCAACTACTGGCATGTCTTCAACAAGTCCTGTGCTCTCCCCTTCAACTTCAACTCCCTCAGCAGCCTTCAATGGAAAAAGATTCAAAATAATTACTATTCGGACTGTGAAGAAATGTATAAATCGAAGCAGAGTTTACCCGGCCTTATTCTACAAAATGTTTGCCAACAAAATCTGCGAGAGCAGCTAGTTTAGTCGGCTAAACTGGTGGTAGCCACTGTGTGTTCGCTGAACTATGGAGATCTCTTGGTGCCCGGTTCAATTTCTGTCTCTGCTTTCCAGGAGGAGGGCTGCATGCAAGTTTCAAAAGCATACTCTCTTTCGGATGAGACGTTTAAGCCGCTGCCCAAATGTACGTTAAAGAATGCAGTACAGTCTTTGAAGAGTAGGGGATTGTCTCCCGGTGTACTGCCCAATTCACCACCAGAAGGACCCCACTGGAAATAAGTCTTTAATGGGTTATCTAATCCAAATCAAATTCCTCTTATTTTTTTAATCAAGACAATACTTCACCAACCTTCTGTTGCTGAAGTTTAGAAACCTTCTTCTTTTTGCGTCTAGGAGGAGCGACGGGTTTTGCAGCTGGAGGTGGCATCTCTTTGGATTCAGAATCCAATGGCAAAGCCATAGGTCGTCCTGTAGTGCTGGCAACAAGATCAGGAATAGCCTCATGTCTTTCTTCATCTGCATCTTTGTCACTAGGTTCTTGAGGTACTGGTGCATCACTGGGGTCCGGCTGATTTGTTTCTTTTTCACTGTCTTCATCCAAACCACTTTCTTCTTTCCTTCTTCGTTCTTCTAGTCTCTTCCGCCGTTTCTCTGCCTCTATTCTTCGTTTTTCAGCCTCCTGTTACAAAACAAAATAACTTTATGCATTTTACATAACAAGTGTTAAAGCTATGGCTATTTAGAAGAACACCTCCCAAATGAGTGAGTGAGTTCCCCTATTTTACGTTTTCTCTGTCTCTGTATGTTTTAAATTCAATAATGACATAAAATAAATGAAATGAAACTGTCTTTTTCCAAGTGGAGTTGCAGAATTTGAAATAGAGGGGGCGCAAAGAGGGACTTTCACAGATAGAGAGTCTTTACCACCTCAGCCCCACAATGGTCGGAGCTGAGGTAAGAAAATTTATGATTATGTCTCCTGGTAGTGAAGTCCACTTGCCAACTAGTTTTCCTGATTCCTGATATCTATCCTACCTGCTTTTGCTTTTTCCTTTCTTCTTCTTCTTTGTGTCTTCTTTCATCTTCTGCAACACGCATCCTCTGCTCTTCTATCAATTTCTAAATCAAAAGAAATTTTGTTAAGAAGCCATATTAGTCAGGAAATACATGTTAAGAAATGATTTGGCAGGACTTCATAATAATATTTATTATGTGAAATAAATATTATTGTTAGTCAAAAGCATGCTACTGACTCACTTATTTACTTTATATTTATTTAACCATAAACAGACTTACAGCAAATTTTAATTCAAATTTAGATTAGCCCTTACTAAATAATTTTTTAGTTTAATATAAATCGGCTGCATATAACTGAATTCATACATTTTAGGGAAAGTTAAGTAGCAAAAACAAAATGTTAACAAAAAATATATTTTTGTTAGTATTTACATCTATTTACTTGAGCTAATTATATTTTTGTTATTCAGCATTTTGAACGCAAAATCATTCAGTGTTTTTTTTTTTTAAGTTTTAAAGCGATTTTTTTTGTGAATTTTAACTTTCATTATGTATATAAATAAATAAATTAATACTCAATTTCAAAGTGCTGTAATTCTGAAATTTTTATAATATTTGTAACTTATACTTGATTTGTATTTTTACTGCTAGCTTCTGAGTGATGAACAACGTTTCAGTCTTATTTATTGCTGCCATTTTTGTCAACTGGTTTATAGCATTTTATGCATTTTAAACTGTTTGTTTTTCTGTCACCTTAATAAAATATGCAAATATTTCTCTGGACATAAGTTTTACTTTATTGAGCTTTTCCTTGCAATTAGGGTAATGTTTTTGTGCAAATTTTTATCCTATCTTTATCATGTATTTTAAGTCAATCAATAAATATCAGTGAAAATTATGGTGTTAGAAATGCTTCTTGTGTCATAAAGGAATGCAGTATGAGAAAGCTGGAAATCATGTATGCTCCCTTGAGATTTTTTGGCTGAAATGACAAGTTGGCAAATGTTAGAAGTAGAGGGTACCTCCATGAATGGAGGGTCAGAGGTCAAGCCAAACTATTTACTACACAGTATAGCTACAGTAGTAGAGTTTAGATACATTCTTAGAATTTTGCCATGATCTTGTAAATATGTTTTGTTAAATATGTTTTGGAAATCAAGAATAAAAGTAGCATAAATGAAATAAAAATGTAATGAATAATAATATGAATATTTTTTTTTTGTATCTGATTGCACTGACTTTTTCCTCCTCTTTCTTTTTCTCTGCAAGTTGGATAAGTTTTCTTTGTATTTCTTCATCTTCACGCTTTCGCTTCTCATCCTCTTCTCGTCTGTTTTCCGCTGCTTTTAAACGTTCTTCTTCAAGTCTTTGAATTTCAAGTTCATATGCATCAACGACAGGGGGCGCCTTGCTCTCTTTAACTAGAGATTCTTTGCTTTTCCTTTTAATATAAATATAAATAAATGGTGATAATTATTAACTAGATTAATTTTTCCTCTTGTTTATTTATGCTAGATCGTCTAGGCTAGGCATCCATTGTGGTTTCGTCATATAATATCATTTCGGGATCATTGGCCTAGGTTAGGCATAGCCTAGCTCTACTAGGTATTCTGTTTTTATACCACACATTTCTTACTGTAAAACAATTATTTTTCAACTCTTTTAAAGTTTTGAGCCTTATTTATTCCATTTTAAAAATTAAAATACACTACACAAATAGTAATAAAGATAAATCCATGTTATAAAATAACTGTGTATAGAAGGTGTAGCATGCCTACTGCGTTAAAAGTTGTGCTGCTAGTCTAGGCCTAAGATAATCATCTCGCGGCGTATGCCATACAAAGGTTACCGAAACCTACAGCCGTAGCCAACCGAAAGCTACACAACGTCAACAATATGCACACACACACAGGGCCTGGCACACCCTGTCGTGGCGACCGAAGCACGTAACTTGTTAATAAAGAAAAGAAAATACCAACCGTCCAGGACTCGGAGCCCCAACATCTTCAGTAGCATCAAAGAATTCTTCTGAGTCACTTTCTGAAGACATATCAATGTCTTTTAGAGGCAAATAATCGAAACGATATCACTTTCACACCATAACCATGGTGTTTTATCATTATTATTAGCGTAAAATGGCCGATGCTTGTGAGCCCTCCATAAAATGGCCTTTATTTACCATGAAAATAGCTTCGAAAACGTTACTAAAAGAAAATGACTATAATGTTTTTTTCAACAATAAAACAGTAATTTTATGAAGAAAAAAAAATTCTATTATAACAAAAAACAGTGGAACAGAAGAATCAAAAGAATAAAAAAAACCTATTATTATTATTATTATTATTATATTATTATTATTATTATTATTATTATTATTATTATTATTATTATTATTATTATTATTATTATTATTATTATTATTATTTCGTTTAGCAGCCTTTTCCAAAGTTGAATTACAAGGTATTAACATCAACAAATTACTTTAAAAATACTTTTCGCCGACTTCTTTGTCTTTGTCTGAATAAAAGGAAATAAATTAAATAAACGATGATAAGCTGATTATTATTATTATTATTATTATTATTATTATTAATATTATTATTATTATCATTATTATCATTATCATTATCATTATCATTATTGCTGCGAAGCAGCCAATTTATATTCTTGACAGCAATTTGACCTCTGAAAGGTCATTGTTTGTCAAAAATCAATCGCCTGACACAACTGAAAAGCGGAGTTTCCTTCTTTCGTTCTCCCGGGTAAAAACAATTACTTTTTAGGCGACGTTTGTAGACTAACCTACTCGTACCAACGTCGGCATGTCGCGACGCTGGAGTACTATTCAGCGTTTTTACTATATTTCTAGGTTTCCTATTTCTACGTTTAATCGGCTCATGTCTCAGCCACAATATTTTGAGGACAATATTATTTACGAACCCAGTTAAACTTATTTACTAGCCTATTTCAACGTGCTAATTATTACATTTAGGCGACGCTTGTTGTAGACTGGCATGTGTTTGCGGAAATAAATACCATTTTATACACATGCGCAGATCGATTCGCCAGCAGCGAGTCATCGCCAGCCGCAGCGAGCCATCGCCAGCAGAGAGATGTCACTGCAGCAAAACACTATTGTACCAACGCTGTTCTAATAATATTATAGACAATGGGTCGTGCTCATATTATTTGTTATATTTTTATTATTCATTATTTTCACTTGACTCGCATAAATAATTTTTTTCGAAGAACATTTTATGCAGTTGTATACTTCGCAGCACTTCACTTGCAATTTCTAGTTATTATTGGTATAATACTGATGATTATGGTGATGATGATACATCAATTTTTTAGGACTATTACTAAAAAATTTCCCTGTAGATCTGTTTCCTCGTCGTGTATGGACCAACTCCCTACTGAGTACTGAAATCTCTTCCCAGCTATCTCATAGATATTCCGATAACTTTCTATCTGATCAAGATTTCGAAAGTTACGTTTTACAGACCCATATTGATTATTGCTATTATGAATCTATATCTTTAAACTGCAACTTAATATTGTTGCTTGTTGAAATTTAATTATTATATTGTTTATAGTTGTATAAATTACATATAGAATATACATTCTAAAATTATCACACCTGTTTTTTTTTTTTTTTTTTTTTTTTTTTTTTTTTTTTTTTTAAAGAAAAGGTAACTTTTAACTTTAGAATTACGATAGGCATATAGGCCGCCTACTCTATAATTATTGTGCCTGAGACAACGATATACTTAAAATACAGTAGTTGTCTCAGATACATCTTATGTTTTTTATGTTAATATTAATAATGGGGAAGCTGACTCTAAATTCGGATTTTTAGTAAGACTTTGCCTAAGCTGGCCCTGACCAAAATTTGTTGTATTGTAAACGTGGATAGGAGAATATATAAATGAAATGATCGGATAACTTGAATGATGATAAAGATGAATGGCATGCCGATGCTAAGAGTTGATGTTGATAATGATGATAATGGATGATGATGAAGATGTATAGATATTCCAGCAATTCAAAGAGTTGTTCATGATGATGACTACGTTACAGTAGTTTAATCACAGAGGGATGTCAAATCAGATATTCACGCAGTGTTCACACGTAGTGGTTCCTATCACGTTTATCACGATGATGATAGCCCCCTCTATACTTGTGAAAATTGTTAAGTTTACTGTCTCTGCTGACCTTTCATGGGTCAAGTCAAGATGGCCGTATCCTCATGGGCGGATCTTCCTACTAGTTGTTTAGAAATTATCTTCTCTCTATTGGATTTGCCAGATCTATTGAATGTTTCTCTTGTTTGTAAACATTGGCACAATCATTTAAATGATGAGAACAGCATAGTTTGGAGAGTACAATGCCTAAAGAGACTTGCTGAAGATGTTTTGAATGGCGACTTTCTGTCAAATGTCCCGACGTACAAATCGAAACTTCGAGCGCTGTACTACACTTGGAATCCGAAAGATTGCTCACAGAATGTATTTGTCAAAAAGAACGGTTTTGTATTACATCGAAGTCCAGTAGCCCAAAGCACAGATGGTGCAAGGGGGAGGCGTGGCTTCGAGACAGGCCGACACAGTTGGGAGATTTGGTGGGAAGGCCCACTTGGAACCGTAGCCGTTGTTGGGATTGCGACCAAAGATGCGCCAATGCAATGTCCAGGATACACTGGGTTACTTGGTAGCAATGATAAAAGTTGGGGGTGGAACCTTGTAGATAATTTTCTTTTGCATAATGGAGACCAACAGGGTAATTTCCCTCAGTGCAATAATGCGCCAAAATATGAGGTTTGTAGAAAAAGTAATTTTATTTTATAATAAGTGGTCATATTTAATATGCAATTTTATTCAATAAGTTTTTGGGTTCAAATGATTCAAACAGTACATAGGCCTACATACTGCTTTGTTTGGGCGGTGTTTTTTTTCTTTCGAGTAGCTTAGGCCTAGGCCAAGGAGTTGTTGGCCTACACCGATTTAATTATTTGCAAGTTGTCAGCTTCTTACAAATTTAATACAGTACAGGTAAAAAAATATAAAAAAATATTCAAATGCAAATTTCAAAAAAGATAAATAAAAGCCTTGTACAAATAGTTTAAAGTTAACTTTAATTATAATTGTGAATTTTTAATATACTGGGTAGTTCTTTCCAAAGGGAAGAGGCAGAAATGAAAAAGTGCATTTTCCATAGTAACATGTTTTATCACAATTAATGTTGAATCAAAGAAAGGAGTTATACGAAAATATGTTAAACAATTTCAATTGGGACAATTATTAGTTACAAGTTGTACGAAAATATGTTAAACAATTTCAATTGGGACAATTATTAGTTACAAGTTGACATTGTCTTCATATTAGGCTTAAACAGAATAATTAATTAAACTTACTGAAATATTCTGTGGTTATGTAGCTAGTAGACATTGAAGCATTCTGTACCTTTATAAATTGTTTTGAGCACAATTTAACATTTTAAAATATTTTTATTTAATCAGGTTGGAGAACGAATACGGGTTATATTGGATATGGAGGACAATTATTTAGCATTTGAGCGTGGTTACGAGTTCATGGGTGTTGCATTTCGTGGCCTGCCAAACGAGACTCTCTACCCAGCCATATCGGCCGTGTATGGCAACACAGAGGTAGCGATGGTGTACTTAGGCGAGCCAGTAGATGGATGATGATGTAACCCTTTGTTAAGCTAAACTGTTGAATAATTCATGAGCAGGGATTCTAATTGCAAGCCAGTGTGGAAGAGTGGGTAGCTCCGTGGGCATGGGAAGAAATCCATGTACGGAAAACCTAATCACTACACTGGGGCTTGGAACATAGTGAACCAGGATCATACATTACAGTACAAGGGTCTGAAGACTGCTACTGTATCTTGACACTGAGGAAGTAAATCGTCAAGGTCAGGGAAGTGCTGCAGGCCTGGGGAAAGTGAGTTTGTCAGACAACCATCAGATTAATGTAAAAGATTTACCAAGTCTATGATTTGTTCTACAGTAAATTACAAATGCATTTTCCTCCATTTATATCCAAAATTTATTTTAATAGACTTACAGTAATAGATTAATGTTGGATTATTTTTGGATTTTGTTGGTTAACACCCAAAGTTTTCTTCTTTTTTTTTTTTTGGATCAAAAACAGTATTTTACAAATTAAGCGCAATTAATAAAACCATGGTAACACTTTATGTTGCTTTTATATCTAGGATGTACAGTCAGATGCACCATTTGTACCAAGAATTCCTACCAGCTAAACGAAACCACACAAAATTCATGTGTAAATGTTTGTTCTTATATTTCCTAGGGTTGTTTTTTTTTTGTAATGATTCATGTCCTTTTTTAACAGTAGAGTATGGTATTATGTTTGATTGTTACCACCAACAATGCCTTGTTGAGGTTATTGTACTGTAGATTCAAGGTAGTCCTATAAAGTGTCATTGTATATTGTGTTCCCTTTCCTGTCACATGATTGGTTTATTCATATGTGACCTGGCCTGCCCTGATGCTTGGTTAATCACATGATTTGGATTAAATTAAATAAATTCATTAAATTTATGATTAATCTGTATTTTACAAATTGACAAAAGACAATTAAGAACTACTAGCACAAGTGGTCCTTTGTCTTTGTCACTGGTGGCACTGTTACTGAAGTCTTGTCGGCAAGCCTAGTTGGCTGCATTGCTTATGTGTCTGATCTCAAACATAGTACTTAAACTATATCTACATAGTTGAAAAAGAGAGTTCAGTATACAGTTTATTTAACCAAGCTCAAAGCAAAGCAGTTCTACTTGGTTAACATTCTAATGATTTATTCTGGCCAAGTGCTTAGATTTTAAATCCATTTTTTGGCAGTTATCTAAAAAGTTATCCTAGTCCTAGAATATATCAGTCTTATTTTTTAATCAATTCTATCAATATTATTATGGTAATTTTCAATAAAGGTAACCTTTTGACCTCTGAACACTTAAGTACATTCTTAATACCATCAGTACTGACTTTAATACAAACAGCAGAAATATAATTAAATTTTTAAATTAAATATATTCATTTATTTGAAAAAGTGAATAGTTATTTCAATGTGAACAAAACCATATTCTACAATTAAGATTTTATTTCTTGTTATTATTATTATTTTTTTATAATGTATTTACTATCACCTGTACTGTACACCATTATTAAATAATTGGTAATTGTTGTTTACATTTAAGCTACTGTTATTACATTAACATTATTATTGCATAATATTTGCATGATAATATTAATAAGAATCAACATATTTATGATATGGTGCTAATTATGTAATAAGAATATGTGACCTATTATTCAATAATAGAATCAGGATATTTATTATTGTTATTACAGATATTATTATTATTATATTTATTATTATTATTATTGTTGTTATTATTATTATTATTACTATTATTTTTATTATTGATTATTATTTTACTGAATTGTATACTAATGCAGCCATGGAACAATAGCTATATGGTTAAATTGAAAGTGATCCACTTTGAAAGTTGGATTATAGCTGTTAATTATCCATTGAATAATTAACCTCACTTTGTGGAATGCATCGGTATTTTATTCTCCTTTGTTTTGGATTTGTTTACCCACGGATTATACATAATGCAAATTGTGTTTATTTATCATCCAACACGAGTATCTTGCCACTTTATTGTACAGGATGTAGGTGATGCTTCATAAACAATGTCTTGCTATGAGGCTTAAATGAGTAGAGCAGTTGTTATTAGTTTTATTAAATACTAAAATATTATCATTTATTTCCAGGGTTCTTTCTAGACAGAAACATGGCTGTACTGTAGAGCCTAGATTTAACTTTCTGCCATGCGTGCAAATATCTGGACCTTTCAACAGTTTACAATTGATATAGTAACTAAATCATGGTACAGTGCCTCAAAGTTCTAAGTTCAAATTTATTCATTTATTTAATTTATTTTTTTTTTTTTTTGAAAAAAATTCATCAAGATACATATTTATAAATTGAATAAAAGCAAACGGTAGGGAATGACCAATAAGAGCAAAGCTCGATGAGATGGCCCCCCTAAGTGAGGTGCCCGAGCAGAAAAAAAAAAGATGCCAGTGCACTCACAATATATAGAAAATATACAAAAAAAAAAAAAAAAAAAAATTGATAAGGAAAAATGATAAGGAAGTATAGAGGCGAATGTACTGTATGAAATAACCAGTGACTTGCAGCTTTAATTACTGTAGGCTGAATTGCATACAGTGTTTTGGAGCATGAAGGTACTGTATAATAAGGGGAATGGTTGTCACAGTATTAATGAAACCCCACCCCCGCCCTGCCCTTTCACGTATACGCTAACCCCTTAAAATATGAGCAGGTGTCATTAATGATCAACTCAATCTTGAAGCCTGCAAGGTGGTGGTTTAAGTCAACTGATCAAGTATTCAGAGGACGAAGTTATACATGAGACCGTAGGGTACATGCTTGTTAAGTTTTGGGGGACTTTACAATTTCTATCAAAACCTGTTTGGCATATATAATTTAATTGATTTACAGTAATTCAATTTGATTTTAATTTAATTTAAGTATTTATATTTAATTATGAACATCCTCATACAGTAGGTTCAAACTGTACAGAAAAACTAACGATGAGCATAAAGATTGGAAAAAATTATTTTTTTAAAAAATTTTGACAGGCAACCAGGTTGTTGAAAAATACTGAGAAAAATCTGTAGAATATTGTATATTGAAAAGTCCATTGAATATTTTGTTTTACATAAATTTTTTTAATTGCAGTCTCGGAGAAGATTTGTTTTAATTAATCCACCTAAAAGTGATTGATAGTCAAGTGGCATCTTAAGATACAAAGGAAAAATTCAACAGCGCATTTTTTTAACATGTTACTTCAATAAACATAAAATTACAGAATGCAAATGTTCTGCATTAAACAACGTCAGTACAAAGATAGAATAAGATTTTTCAAATTTATTACAATCGTTAAATCCATTGAATTAAGTGTGAATTATTTATAGTCTGTACTTAACATGTCATTTGTGAAAGGATTATGAGGTACTAAGCAAGTCCCCGATTCTGAAGACAGCTTCAATATGAAAATCAAACTAAATACAGTTGTATTGCAGGTTACGGTACTACTATATCAATTGTAAAGAGCACTCTATTATGATAATTGTATAAAATGTTTAAAGGCACATTTGCATCTGCTATTTTCCCGTCCTGTCTGCCCTCCCTTCCTGCCTCCCCTTTCATTTTTCCTCTCCCTCCTGATTGGACAAGTCCTCTTGACAATCTACTAGATATTGATACTGAATTTTTTAACAAGGCTATTTATTGTGTATTGGATTTTCACAATTATTTTTATCAATTTGTTATTCATCTTCATTTCATAATAATGGTAAATTGTTTAAGAATCAATTCTATTCATGTCATCATCTTCATTTCATATATTAAATTTTAATATGATTGAAGATCAGGTGTTTCAAAAACATGAATATTAATTAAGATGTCAAATTATCCACTTTTCAATTGATTTCATTTCTTGGTCACATGATCCAGTAGTAGCTTTAGGCAAGATTGTGTGAAGTATCTCAGAAAATTAGTTCACATGAATTACTAGGTAATCTAGCAAGTGCATCAAACCAATGACCTCCAGGGTGCAAATGCACTGACCCATAAGTTCATTAGTTGATTTTAGATATTGAATTTGTTTATTCCTATCAATGATTCTTGATGGTGAATAATAGTACTGCCATAATTGTTCATGTTATTATTCAAGAATGCTCATCAGTCATCATCGTTATATCTATACCATACATCGTAATTCACAACAATTCGGCCCTTCTAAGGCAAATCAACGTATCTGAACAAATATATAATAGCAGTTACGTTGTTTTGCCATGGGATGCATTGTCATTGTTGTCAATGTCATCATTATCATCAACCTTATCATCATCAGTGGTTTATCCAGGAATTCGGAATAGAGGGGCTTAAGGGGGACTCTCACAGATGGAGCGTCTGTACCACCTAAGCCCCAACATGGTTGGGGCTGAGGTAAGATTAAGAAAAATTATGATTATGGCTGGAAATGGCACTCTCTAAATTTAAATATAATTTTCTTTTTTTCTGCATTATTTTAAAATTTTTAAAGAATTTAGGGGCCCAGGCCAACTGTGGGGGCCCCCTCAATTTGCCACTGATCATCATTATCATCATCATCGTCGTCGTAAACATTATCATCATCATCATAATAAATCGTAATCATGTATCAAAATCAGCATAACCATCATTCCATCACCGTTTCTGACATGTTTTTTTTTTATTATTAAAAGAATTCAATTCCTTTCATTTTCTTTATTAGTCCAGTAAAAAAATTAAAATCATCATCACCAGCCTCTCAGGACAATGCTGGCCTCCTCAAACCCCATACTGGTCTGTTGTATGCTAAATTGCCCTGTTTACTCCAAGCACTTCTGGAAAAGATCACTCCATCTCTTGCTTTGCCTCCCTCTTTTTTTTTGTTTTCGTACGTCATCCATAAAATATAATCAATAAAATATCAATATAAAGTTTACATGATAAAATTTTGTAAACTAGGATTTACATATCTTCGTCTTTACTGTAAAGATTTTATGCGTTATTGCAGTTGCATTCATTGGTCATATAATTTTTTATTCTATTGTTGACGTCTATTCATAATTATTTTTTATATTTATTAGTGTTCCAATTCATAGAATTTGTATTGTTATTGGTTTTTAATTGGCCATTGTGAGTGCATTGCTTTGTCTCATTACCTCTTATTTTATTGATTCATCTCATTAATATTCATAGATCTGTTCCCTCAGCACTGTTGTTGATTTGTGTATGTCGAGAACCCCAAGGTATGAATGAGCAATTTGAGAACAAGCTGCCCATAGCAGGCCTCTTGGCTGATTGTCCCACCTGCCCATTGGAAACCTGCAGGCTGAGTGTCTCTTAGAAACCAAGCCTCCGCAAACATGTTCGCTGCCTTAACAGTAAATGTTAATAATAAATTATATATCATGCGTGGCTCTACAAGTATTGTATCTTTTCTTGTACCATAAATCTCAAATAAGCACTGCTCTAGAATATTAAGTGCTGTACAAAACATGATTTTTTTGCGAAGTGCCGCTCTCGACTAAGCACCCTGTGTGTAAAGAAACACTTTGAGGATCAGGGTTTCAAATAAATGTATACAATGAAGACACAAGCATATCTTTATAAACGTTTATTTACGATGATGTAGGGCCAATGAACTGCAGGAATGCGCAAGATATAGTAGGTAACATGGGAACAGGCATGGAAAGCGCTATGCATATACTTATTTAATTACCGCAACTCTTGAATAAGCGCCGCTCTGGCATAAGCGCCTCACTGAAGCCTCCAAAAATTTTATAAACGCAGCGGTGCTTGTGGATTTATGGTAGATAAGTTCCTTAATTTGTGGTACCCATGAATTTAACTGAAAAAGTACACCACTAATCCTGTGGCAGACCTAATATTTTATTGAACCAAATATGGTAGAGTGTTAGTGGGAGGGGACAGGTAGACCAAAGGAATAGATTTTGAGGTGTTGGATGAGGCAGTACATGAGACTAGATGCTAGAATCTTTTGCTAAAATTAATTAACAAAAATTTCTGTAATACCTACTTCATAGGCCAACAATCATTGGCACATCCTGATGGTGATATGAGGGGATTGGGTAATAGGGATAAGCATTTGGAAGGGGAGGTACAGTACTTTAATATAAGTCAGTGCCTGATGTTAAACATAAAATGTACTTAAGGTAAAAAACCTGTAATAACCTGTATTTTTCTTCTTGCTCTAGTGAAACTGGGAATCTCTTGTTTCAAATCCTTGGATAATAAAAAGAAATTAATACATAACATGTTGTGCACAAATCCTGTGAATTGAAATTAGCCAGCTTATGCACTAGCCCATGAGGTATTGGTTTTTCTAGGATTATAGTCTGCTTTTTTATGGTCATGTGATGATTACTCATGCTGCAACGAGTTCTCGCTTCCTTCTTGGAATGTCAAATCTAGAAGATGAGATAATTATTTCAGATTTTGATGCTAGAATATTATAATTATCAATAATTTATAATTAATAATTATAGTTTTATTTTTGTTCTTGGCAACATATTACATTGACTAAATAGGAGTAGTGCTTAATAAATAAGTAAATAGAAGTAATTTAAAGAAATTCACCTTTTAAACAGTAATTAAAATGTACATGAAGTCAAAGTTGGTTCGCTTTTGGTGCAAGAACCCTAAAATCTCTGCATTATATTTGTCCATTAATATAAATTTGTTTTTCTAAGAATTACCTCTCTGTATATGACTTGTGCATTTGAATGATCTACTATACATACACTGTACATGAATATATTTATGTTATATAAATATTGTCCATTCTCAATGCACATTTGATTCTTTGTCTATCTCTCCTCCGTAAGAGGATTATTTAACTATTATTCACTTGATCAACTCATAGTTGTGAAATATATGATGGATATATGAATATATTTCTCTAATTATATTTCTGAATATATATCCAGTCCTAAGGGCCTTGGATTTCCAATAGCACTTTATCTTGAGTCGAATTGTCTAGCTTATGCTAGGTGGTTTGTTGAGATTTTTGTTTAAGACTGATCAAAATGCTTTTAAATTTAAATCGGTTTATGTAATGGCTGGTAAGTGGATGAAAGCAATGACGCCAAACGTTATCCCAGGTTTGAGAGAACCTGAGAGTATAGGGCAGTTTAAAACTAAGGCCCCATAAAATTTTTTTTATTAGTTTATCACCCTATCCAAGAATAAAAACTGATGAGGGAGGGAGGTTTTTTGGGGTTTTTTTTCACACCAGTGTTTGCTACAACATTAATGGTTAAGGACATATAAAATATAAAAAGTCGTAAGATTAGAAACAAATTTATAAAACAAGTTCTTGTTGTGCCAGTAAACATTTTAAAAAAATACAGTTACAGTTTTTTTAACCATGAAAATTTAGAATGCATAAATACATCTGGCAAAGTAAAGGATACAGAAAATAAATGAA